TGATGATGGTGATGATGATGATGATGGTGATGATGGTGATGATGGTGGTGATGATGATGATGATGATGGTGATGATGATGATGATGATGATGGTGATGATGGTGATGATGATGATGATGGTGATGATGATGGTGATGATGATGATGATGATGATGATGTTAAGGAAGGAACCATGATGGAATGTAAACCAATAATTTGCTGGTATTGACAGTACACATCAGCCAAAACTTCCAAACCGTTCAGTTGAAGGTTACGACGTTCGCCTGTCCCGTCCTTATTCCATTCTGTAATTTGTGCTCCGCTGATTGTTTTGAATCTCATGTCATATATCAGTTCACTTGCGGCCGCAGCAACACATCGCATGTTACTATAAATGTAAGTGCATGTTACCTGAGGGATGATGAAAATGACTGAAATGGTAACATCCTTCCCAAAATGGTTTGTTTCCCTCTGATAAAGCCGTAGCTTCTTACTAGTGGGTTTTAACTGAAATAAGTTAAGCCTAATACACTATAGACTGTCTGAACAAGTAAGCAAATTACAACAGAATGTGACAGCTCGTTGAACTGAACGTGAGATTGTATGTATTCTGCGTATTCTGCGAAAAAAGATCAGCAGAAAGCTTTTTTGGCTGTCTGTCTACTTGTCCAGAGCCAGGTGAACACTGGTCATCCCACCCTTTATCACTGGATTCAACTAGGTCAGCAACCGGAGGGATCGTGTCCAGGATAAAATGATGAACTCTCTGAAACCGGAATTCATCTGAATGGAAATTGTTATTGAATGAGGATGGGGGTCCTAAGACAAAAGGTAATGTTGCTAGGGCTATTCCGGTTCAAGGACCGCCTACTCGGTATCCCACACATTTTCCTGAGATCTTTTGGGCTCACGCTCAGTTGTGGGGCTAACAGAGGACACTGCGTAGTAAAAAAGGTGACCTGAAATTCCGCTGATTCAAGAGGTCAGTCTTGATTATCGATCGATCCAACGAGCCACCTTAGTGTACGAACCACACTACATTGAGTAAAGCGGTTGAATCTTGGTCGAGTCGGTTTGTTCTCGTTGTACATTACTCATGACGAAACACGGCAAAGACAAGTTCGTTTATCAAATTCCTTTCGCTGAGCCGCTTTCTGCATGGGCCATTCGATCGTCGGTGATCCATCGCGATTCCTTGAAGTTTGCACCATTTGCAAAAGTGATCACTTACAACCATCGTACTTCGAATTAAAAAACTTACTTTACTACGCCCTTAGTCATGATTTTACCATTTTTCAGAGCATTTGTCTTTTTGCTTAGACCCGCCGTATTATTGCACCTGTTCAGCGTTAGAAATGGTTGAAGCACTAGGGTTGGCTGAAGTAGCGTGTTGTATACTACAACTGTAACCAATTTATCTTATTTTATCTACAAATGCCGTATCGACTCTAACCGAGGCTAAATATTTATAGCTGATCCTTTAGCCTATCGAAAAGAAATTTAATCACACTGCTGTTCAGCTGTTCGTGGCCAAACTAATAAGTGTTCGAATACTTGCCGGAAGGTCTCCCAGTTTCGTGAGGTATGCACTGTGCTACTAGGCTTTTCAGCATAGACTGGTTTCACTCAAAGGGAGAAGCCACAGTTTTAAAAAAAATTCTGGTGTCTCTGCATGGTACGCCTGTTTACAATAGCAAATCAAAAATCGTGGTTGAAAAGCGACCTTGATTCCTTGCTCCCTGCAGTGTTGGTTGAAAAAAAACTGTGATGGAGATCAACTTAATTTTTCAACTCAGACTCATCATCATCATCATTGTCAGCTGTAATAAGCGCGTACTTGTCGTACAGCGGTTGTAGCTGCCACAGTTTCGTTCACCGATGATTTGGGGAGGTTGGGTAAACAGATGCGCACCGTAGATGGGCTGATAAATTGGTGGGTAACTACGGGACTGTTAGTGGACTGTTAAGTGGGGGAACTGGGAAAGGAGCTATGCACTGAAGACAATAGCTTGGACGCATGAGCGCCACTGAAGGCGCGTCCATGTCTGGTCTGACAATGTTTCTAATCATTGATATGGCCCGTCTCGGGGTCCCCATCCAGACTAAGCGCTAGAAAGCTGAGAAACACCATTTCCACCATGTTGGGAATCATCCCCAGTGTGCGTCTAGCGAAACTCAGTGATTATCGGACCCGTGACTCCCAGCCAGTGCCTTAACATTGAACAGTTCACTCACGATCGCCTGATAAGCAGCGGGATTAATTCCCACTTAGCGCTACTCTTTCTACCACAGAAACCACATGAAGAGGTCATCTTTTGACTAGTTGCTTGACCGACGAGTTCTCAGAAGTAGGTTCCATACATCTTACGAAATTATTCTTCCTCTGAGATAATTATTGATTGATGGTGATGTGAGGAGATTTGGTAGACTGGCTTCATTCTGGTAGGACGAAATCTCTATTTAAAAATTACCAAATCTCCTCACATCATCATCAATTCATCCTGTAAATAAACATTTTTTACCCGATTTCCACAGGATCCCCTTCACTTATTTGTACGTCTTTCCCTAGTTTATTAAGTTTGCTGGGTGGAACTTTCCTCTGCTAATATCGCTTTTACACAGCAGGCGACCAGTTGGCCAGTCGATAAACTTTGTTTAGATATCCATGTTCTGCTTGATGATACAATCATTAGTTGTATTCAATTGGGTCACATAATGGTTTACTGCTAAATGATCTGTGCAGCCTTCAGAATAGCTAACAACTCTACTAATTTTTCTCTAGGAGTCACGCATCCTCAGTTGCACCATCGTTGCATCGGAGTTTTCACACATAGATTCGTCTACAAAGACCGCAATAAGTCAGATGACATGATGTCACTGAAAGCTCTCTATATAGCCTCTCTGCCATGAACTGAGTCCACATACATAGGTTTTTCAAATTCCTGAATATGTTCTCTTACCTGTCTAGCTAGTTTTACCTTTTGAAACACTTGTTCCTGATTAATGATATGGGAAGATTTGTGGGCTTATGCTCAAGAGGTGACAGGCGTACTGTCGTGAATGAACTCAGTTTACAACTACGGCAGTCGCGGTGAGCTTGAACTCACCAAAAGATGTATGGAGCTTCACTGATTCGGTTTGTCAGATATATATATTATATATATATATACATATAACGTAGCACAAAATTCGCCACTCGTATTTGGTTTCCTTCAACCCAGATTCACTTTAACACCCAAACTTCTTTTCTCCGCTCTTCTTTCAAATGAGAGTATCCCATACATAGCTCGTGTGTTTGATGCGCCTACTCATATCCCGTCGACTCGCAATTTCTCTCGGCCATGATTGCATATTCTTCATCTACTCAAGTGGTGTGCCAATGAAAAGATAGATAAAGTTCATACCGTCTGATTTTTTCACTCACCGGAATTCCTCTTGTGATCTCTTTTAGTTCACCTGTAAGGCAAAAGGTAGCAAGCGCGATTCTGTTACCTCCCGTGTTCTCCTCAACGCTTCATCTTCATACTTAAATTCAGTGTCTGTTTATGTTGCAGGACAACTCCTGCTACACAACCTTCATCCTGCCGAGTAAATTTCTGCGAAAGCAGAAAGTTATCTGACGAGCAAATTTTGCTTTCCCTTCCATTTTTCAGTGTCTTATTTTAACAATGAGCCTCTGTCTGCTCATAATTTTGCTCAAATATCGTCAGTCACGCTTCATGTCCTTCTTATCACATCTCTAAAAGAGAGCATTTTACCTGTATTGCCGTACTTTCTTGTGCAAAATTTGACTTACTCAGATTTTAACAGGATATCTTAATAAAATCGAGACCCATTTCCAGATATAGTCTTGCATTTGCTCACCATTTCCCTTTTCCCTAACTCGCGATGTTTATCTATCTATCTATCTATTTATCTATCTATCTATCTATCTATCTATCTATCTATCTATCTATCTATCTATCTATCTATCTATCTATCTATCTATCTATCTATCTATCTATCTATCTATCTATCTATCTATCTATCTATCTATCTATCTATCTATCTATCTATCAATCTATCTATCTATCTATCTATCTATCTATCTATCTATCTATCTATCTATCTATCTATCTATCTATCTATCTATCTATCTTCTATCTATCTATCTATCTGTGTTTGCCTATCTTCTCTGGTGAGTACCACTCACCAATTTGATACAACTAGTTTTGTCGGTGATAGAGTAGAAAACAGATTGATCCGTAGGGAAGACTAGTAGACACGTAAATTTTGCCGAAAAAGAACCCATCGTCAGGCGAAGAACACAATCGGTCAACATTTCACGTGTGTCTGTACTCACATCTGTGCAGTCACGTGGCAAGTCTTGTGACAGTACCTGGACCTCTGTTAATGACCAGATGTGCAGAGAACTGGCGTGCCCGTTTCAGTTTATTCCTAAGTAGACTGACAAGTAGACTGACGCAGGATTGGTTTATGTAACAAATTCCCGGTTACCAAGACGCCAAATCGTTGCCGCAACTTTTAAGCAATGTAGAGCAGCGTCGCATTACTAGCTGAACTTATCTCAAGGTGACATCGGAGACACCGTAGACAGCTCGTTATATCTAACGAAGTGGTTAGGTCTTTATTGGTGGTCGTCTTAATCCAAAGTGGATTAGAACCTTTTCCAAAAAGTACGCAGATGTTAAGTTTCACCTTTCGCAACTAAGACACTTTTTCCTGGAAGTGGCGTTCATAGTTAAAGTCGGAAGATACACTATATCAGCAGTTGGCCATTCTCATTCACCACACGGCCTTCATGTGTCAATGATTTGCTCCAAAAGTAGAAGGTCGCTGTCACTTTTCCGTGAACGACTGAACCTTTTTAATTTATAAGTATTAACCAATAAAAAACTGATGACTTTTTGCTAACTCCATTGTGCAACCGTATTTGATTTGTGCGGCGCGACCATCTTGTGAAACGTCAGTCATTTCCTTGCGTTAGAACTGTCAAATGTTATCTCTTCGTTCGTGGACGCAAGACATTCGAATTGTATAAAATGGGCAGTGTTTCGCTTCTGACACAAAGGCTTTGTCAGGCCAAGTGTCTAGGTCACGAGGTTGGTTGAGGAGAACCAGTAAGCTAAGTCAAGCCAAATCTGTGTTAGGTGTCGGCCAAAGGATTTTGAGTGTTAGAATGGGTTACCATTTGTTAAGTTGATGGGGAAAACCTAAATGGATTTGGGTCCAGTTTAGGGTCTAGTGCTTCTAATTCACGTGGTGTTACCTCTTGAACGTCGTCTGCACATTTCTTTCGACTGTGTGGATGAGCTTGCGCTGTGATGGCGTTTTCCAACTGATTGAACAGAACTGTCTATGTTATCTTTTCACTCATAGTCTGCAACTTCACGAGCAGCTTCGGAGAAGCATACGTTGGCCGCACGGATAGACGTCCAACTTAGAGTGCATCAGATTTTCGGATGTATGTAATTTAGCTGTTGTCAAAACGGACATCTCGCATCAATGGCCAAACATGTGTTCGATTGATCCAGTGGACGGTTTCCGAATCTTGTTGCGCATCACAAGCCTCGAAGTCTCAGCGATAGAGGAAGCGCCTCCAGCTCCGACAGTGCACACAAAAAGAGCTGAAGTAAACGATTTGGTATCGATCACGTGATAAGTGGAAACCAACTCTAATCAGTGTGTGTTTAACATTGTTTCTGTATTTCATTTTGTACAGTCCGTATGTTTTAAGTCCGTGATTGAAGAGAACAAATGTTCATGCACATCAGAATATCTCTTTTGTTAGTTCTAGTGAATTTATTGACAATCAAAACCTGCCAGTAAATTGCCTCACAGTTACAAACCGAGATTTCCATAGTGTTGAAAATATATTCAATTTTTTTAAATCTGGTGGACGCCAGGACGCCAAGAATCTCCCTCTTTGTGAGTCTGAAGTATCCACCATAATGAAGTGTTTCGGTTGTGGTCTCATAAATTTAAACCCCAGGTCATGTAATGCGCAAAAAGACCGAGATTTTTGGCCCAATTTTTATTAGGATGCTCAGGTGTTTTTGGTGGATCACACGAAAAAATGCGATGCATATTGAACATACGTGTTTACAGATATCATGAAATTTTTTATCTGCATAACCTTATAATCAAGGAGTGCTTCTGAAGTAACATTCTGGTGTCAATGAGACTGGGAACCTATGGGTTTACGAAAATGAGCCTGCACAAGCATCCTGTTTTTTTTAGCATTTATCTTCATTGAGGTGATAATCAGAAAACTACATGCTGGTAGTTCCCAGCATTCTCTCACTTCATGCTGGCCATTTTGTGAACAAACCAGGCGGTTCAGATACTGTACGATGATAAACAAAGGTAAAGGACAGCATCTGATTGCAAATCCATTTTGAGAACTCAGGTATTGAAAAACTGTAGCGGTAAAATGATTAAAATCTGCCACTGGGAAACGGTATGTTATTCTTGTGGAAAGTAGTGAAAAAATCGATACATCAAAAATCCGACCGATGTAGGCAAAATGATCGATTGGACTAGCTGGCTAGACATACGTCTGGTGCCCGGACGAAATGAAACATTGTTTAGTTTTGTGAACATTGTTCATGAACTCATCTTTGATGATGTAGCATGTGACACAAGTTTGCGGAGGATTAGAAAACACCCAGGAAGGTTTAGTCTGCCCTTGTAAGTGTGATAATAACTCATTCGTGTGAACTGGCGGTGTACGAATTCCGCTCAACAGTTTTGGTCCATTTTTGTAACACATACTGTTTCTTATTCACTAGTCTGTGGGTCATGAAATGTCACCTTAGTTTGAGTAAAATTGAACTATAAGTGCTATGAATCCATAGTTCTTATGTTTGCCATCCGACGGTCAGGATTTCATCCTGTAAAACATAGCGCTATGAGAAATCGAAATGCAGGAAACATCACTGTAGCGCTACTAGATATATTCAGCTGTTCGCCTCGGTAAATCCTCTGGGAAAAGCCAACATTTTCCGACTCGTTCATTATCCAATGGCGAGGTTTCTTGAATTTCAGATCGTCCCAAATTTCCTTCAGGATAGTCCTAGAAATCTAGGTAGACAAGTGGTGTATGCAATAGGTTATTATTAGTGCTACGTTACGGCAACCCAGTAGATTAAAAACAGGTCACTTCACATCCTGAAAACCAAACACTAGAGCACTTGAGGTCAGATAGAAGGGTACGTGCAACAACGAACATTTTATTAAATTTGTCGGGAGGATCAAGAGGTCTAAGGTCTGAAAAATGCAAAGAAGAGGACAAGCTGAAAATTCCTGGACCGTCAAGAACCGTGCGTTAACGTGACGGATAATTCTGGGTGGATTTCCACGTGAGTGGATTTGGGGATCAACTACAGATTATAGTAAGCCTCCGGATGAAAGCCAGACGAAACGTCTGCGCACTTGGAAAATTTAATATGGCTGGTCCAGAGACGAACTAGCTGACTGGATTAATAAGGATCTCTTGATGAAAGACTGGTCGTCATAACGAAAATCAATAAAAATATCGTCTCCGTATTGTACCGGGCTGTACTGGAGGTCCTCAATATGGAAAAAAAAACAAATGACAAGAGATTTCGTCTTCAAACACAACAGTACTTGTGGGAAGTGGAGATCTGCATTAGACCTTGGAAATGGTTCACGAAGAGAATAGTTATAGCATGCCAAAGGTTTGTTTACTGGCATGACTGTGCCGACGCAACCGTCAGACAACTGCGAGCGTTTTTGTAGTCGATAAACGATATTCCAGGTGGACCACCACTACTTCCAAACTGGACCATAGTATCAATCGTTGAACTCAAATGGGCTGTGGAAGCCCAGAACCTTCAATATTTATTTCAACAGAACCCCCTCAAGGGTAAGTAAAAAGCTATTTAGAAGAACGGACCAGTATCGAAGTACAAAGTGAGCCCAAAGGGAACCGCGTGCCTCGAAATGCCCTGATGAGCAGTATAGAAAATCCATACCCTGATTTGGGAATGAAGTAATACGACTGGATCTCCAGCAGTCAGGTATCTCTTTCAAATGCTTGCGTGAAATAAAGATCTAGAACATAGAAAATCAAAAAGTGGGGAAGTATTCAACAATTTGAGGGATGTCATCCCGCGCAGTGTGGGAAAAAATAAGCTGGCTGTGAATCTCCCTGCGTGACTAAGTAAATATACGAAAAATTGTTGGAGTTAGCACCTGCAGCAGTAAAACCTGGTCACTTTCTCGACATTCGACCTAGACTCGCTTTTGGACTGCCGATTCCCTTATTACCACGGGACATGGCGAATACATCTTCTTAGATCGTTTAATTCTCATAAATAATTCGCTGGAACCAGAAAAAATGGTTGAAGTTACCTGCCGTGACGCTCAAACACATAGTCTTCTGAGAAACAGATCTGTCTCGTAGGCAAAGATATACAAAAATTAAAACACAGAGTGAAGGAAGATAGTGAAAAAATAAGGGAGTGAAAGTTTGACGATAATGGTAATTTATATTGAACAACAGAACGGTTGATTGTTGTTCACATAAAGTTACACTATACAGCGTGGCACCAATCTGGCTCCACATTGGTCATTATGCCTAACGGAGAAGCAGCACCTTTGTCGGTTCTGAAGACATCAAACCAGCTTTTGCGGCCACAATAAAATCATTAGTTGAATGAAGAATCACAATTCCGTTCTTCCACTTTCTATCACATTCCGACAGCACCGAAGTTTTATCAACTGGATAGGCTTTGCAAAACAATACTGACACAGTCGTTTATCGATAATCGTTTTACTGTCTACAATACCAAAGACAGATTTCCCAAGAGAGACTTCCCAGAACACGGCCGACAGGTAGTTTTGCGAAAATCTGCATTCTTGGGAGCCCATTAAGTACCAAAAAGACAATTGACATGCATTCGATCCTGGGAGACGGGAATAACGAACTAAACCGAATGAGCGGAAAACGCGGCAACTCAAATCTTGAACAAGTCGAGAGATTTGTAAAGGATTGTATTTGTGATCACCACTAAAACTTACCACTGGGTGTTTTTTTAGTTTCACCTATGGGTAAATCGAAGCTGATTCTTTTTGTCATCGTTTAATTTTCCAGAAATTTCATCGGCCAGTCAAATGAAAACGGAGGCCGGCGGAAAATACGTCATTTATTACAACCAAGGATAAAAAGGTGACTTGGATTGCGTCATCCTTAGAAGAAGTCGGAAAGATTCTCTTTCCTGATTTCTGACCCCACCTGTTGATCTGCACGCATGCGTGCCTACCTGTTCTGTACAAACTCAAAAAAACTGTTCATACGCTCAACAGAAACGACACTAGACAGTTTGTTTCAAATAGTATCGTTTTGAAACTTGTTTTGAACTTTTCAAGTATCACATAAATAAGTGCCAACTAATGTACAAATTTACAATTACTATTCGAAACCCAAGTTCTGCCGGAGTGGGTCTACCTTAATACTTGTCGACTCCATGTTCAAATCACCAAAACCATGTTTGTTGAATTTCCTCAAGACAATGGTAATCGTGCAGTTCAAACTAAAGTGTATATTGGTAAAATAATTCTACGCCAGATATTTAACGTGCTTGACAAATTGGTATTGGGATGCATTCACTCCTCATCAGAATTTACCCTAATGTTATTTTAGTGTTTTGCCCCTGGGATGTGTGTATGAATGGAATGTGCCCTGTGCCCATATATATATATATATATATATATATATATCGATTACCGGCATTAGGAACATCAAGAGAACTGTTTACTCCGTAGAGCACTCGCTAGGATCCACTGGACTTTGCTGTCCTAGAAAAGCGGTATTACGGCCCGCTTTCCAGTAAGGGAACCTTGTCTTCTGATGTTCGGGCTCATTTGCTTGTGTCATGGTCACATGATTACCTGCTGCATTTAAACTACCCTATGACGGTATACAACCTTGTCCTGGTCACGTGATCACTTAGTCGACTGGTCGATTTACATCCTAACAAGATTAAAATCTGAATCGGTCAGTGTTATAGCCAATGTTGGGATAAGCGTGCATTATCTACTGATCTGTTTACTTCTATTTAGGACCAGTAAATTACCAAGACACGAATAGTGGTAACTAAACTACCCAGTATTCTTTTCGCTGTGTGGGTGAATGACTGCCTAGAAATTCATACCTAAAGATATCGTGGCATTTTAGCAGTAGGTAGTTTTACATTTCCTCTTTTTCTTCTCACCGTGAAAAGGCAGTGATTGTGGGGCTGATGATCATAGTGATGACCATCTCCATAACTTGGGCGTTTGGTTCCGCGATTAACAACTGTTGAAGACAACTGACCACCTGAATTAAAAACAAATAGAAACGCATTTGTGGTAGCTCAAAATTCAGACTTTTGTTAAACTCCCAAAGGTATAATAAACATTCTAGTGCCTTGAAATGGATTAGGATGGATCCCTTGATTTTTAAGTTTGTTGGATTTTTTCCATGAACCTGTTCACTCTGGAATGCGAAATGACGCGTGGTTGAAAATGGCTAACTCCATAATAGTGGCCACGTGAGCGGTCCTCTTTTTAAATCGTGTGCTTAAAAGCACAGGAATAAAGCGACCACACGGTTTCAGATTAATTCACTATTCCTTTCGTTTTGAATATCAAACAGTTTACGAATCATGGTGGAGAGAGGACTGTGAACGGGATAATGCCGTGCGTCGATTCATTATTTAATTTTTGTGGATAGCTTGCGTTCGCTTGTTTTGACCATTAAAACTAGACTTGGCCAGTTTTTTCTCATGTTCACGCAGAGGTATCGAGTTCCTTTCGGTTATTCTGCTTACTCAACTTTCCAAATATTCTCTTCAGTACTAACTAAATGTTCGGGGTGGACTATTGGACAGAGTCTTTACATCTTGCGTTGACTATCAAATCTAGCCTCTCCGAGCCAAAAGTCGATAAGAAAAAGTTCACCATGACACATTAACAAAAACGGACTTTTGTCGTTTTGAACATATTGTACATTGAGAGCATTTCAGGAACCAGAATTTCCGCGATCTGTGACATCTGCTACAGCAAATTTATCGTGGAAAACAGAGAGCAAACTTCGATTTTTAAGAATTAAGTGTGGAAATTCCTCCCAGTGGTATGCCTGTTCTCTTCTAAACTCACCCTTATCCGTATTCGACTTGTTTGCCTCCGAACTAAACAGTCATATGGCCGAATCAGTTATCTCCGGTCTTACGTTTTGGCTTGGTCCAACTTGTTTAAACTGTCAGTTATCTCATCCCGATCACGTTAACTTCTCTTTTCCTTCGGTCTGTTAGGGTGGGTTTTATCAGAATGACTGGGAAGAAATTCTGAATTGTTTTCCTCCCCTCAAGTTCGCGCAGTGCGAGTATGCACTCATCAATTTGCTCCAAGGTCGGATTCGTGTTTCCCGATGCGTCTGGACTGGATGGTAATTGTGGTCAGGTCAAACTGATACTGTTGAATTACACAGATATCTTTGGTTATGGGGACAGATCGGTGCGACTCAGAACACATGGTGTCAGAGATGTTACCCACATTATGGTTGTTCTTTCGGTAAACCATTTCTATGATTGTGCGCAGTCACGTGTCTTCCACAATCGTCAGTTTGTCTCAAGATAACATATGTTCTGTTTTTTTGTTTTCCGATAATATGAAGGAACTCTCGGTACTAGTCCAAGGTTGCATACAAACGGGTGACATATTTAGCCGTGGTCCTTCCCCTGGAAAATCCGTGACCACTTTAATTAGGTTTTAAACTAATTGAATTTTCTGGATAACCGTTATCAAACCCGTTGCGATCTATTTTAAAATACCATAGCTGACAGACAAACCAGCCCCAGAAACATATGTGTAATATATCGTGTCGATCCACAATCTTTCCTAGCGGTAAAGGAAAGAAATATTCTGAGCGCTGTTCATGTTATCCAAAGTTAGATCCCCTACGCCTATTGGTCTAAATATATAGTCACGCAGGACATCCACCCTGCAAGTACGATTGTATATATGGAACTATTTGGATGCACTTTTCATCAGACAGTCTTATTAGAGCTCCTAATAACATACGTCATGATTGCCCAATATTCACAGAAAATGGATCTGCCACGCCAGACTCTCCACTGATATGCAATCGGCTAAATCATTTGCCATGCTGTAGAGAGAGAATAAGAGCTGGTCTAATTTCCTCTAAGACAATTGCTGGGCAAGTGTCTTCTTACTGAACAGGAAGTGGAGCCCTAGTTTTAGCGGGAGAGATCTGAATCGCAGATGAATCACTTGTTTAGGAAATTCTCCAGAAAAATACACTTCACAGAGACCATCTCTTTTTTCGGTTGGTACGATATTCAGAATATCACAGCACTTTGTCTGGACGAACACATTATCAGAAAATTTGCCGAAAACTTCTTGACAGAAAAAAGAAGGACGAAACGGGTATTGGGCTGCTCAACTTTCTTCAGCAACCTCATGAATAGTGCATTGTGTCTTGGAAACACTGTTTTCTTACCCTGACGGGTCACTTTGAATCAACCATTCTAGGAGGAAAAAAGCCGTTTTTTCAACATCCTTAAAAACATCCACAAAATATAGAATGCTGATATTATATCTTCAGTGGGATTGTCCGCTGCAATTTCATCCTCTTCCGGTGTCTTGTCTGATTGTCTTTAACAAGAGTATGTCCAACTGAAATAAGCAAACAAATACCAATTAATGGACAGCATCAATGTCATAATCTTAGCCTCCTCGTGTTCATCAATATACTTTTGGGAAAGAATGTCCATAAATAAGGGCTTGGAAAATGTGGCCTTTATGCGAATGCCTGTGCTGACGTGTGTGTGTGTGTGTGCGTGCGCGCGCTCGTCCTGTGGGGCATAAGTATTGGTTTCGGCAGCAAAGGACACGCTTCGCCCCAAAGGCTTTGTTCTTGTAATGAATCGTGTTGATAACCAGATACATTCGTTTGCAGGCTAACTTGGATTTGACGGGAGACTCATCTGAATCTCAAGACGAATCACTTGTGTATGTCAGTCTTCCGCTGATTGTGCTGCACAAAGGCTGCCCTATGTATAAGTCGGTACGATATTCGAGATATTGTGGTATCTTTCCGGTAAGAACACTATTCCTAAGGTTGCTGAAAACTCTTCCACAGCTGACGGCAGGTTTTGCCCTTCTTCGAACTCATCGAATAGGCGTAGTCCTTCGAGTTTCCGTCAACTCTATGCTCCATTTGAAACCAAACTGGATGCAGTAGTGTCTTCTTCGGTCGAATTTATAGCGGCTGCACTGCACACATGCAACGCAAATGAAAAAGTCGCACTACATTTTCTGATGCAAATGAAAAAGTCGCACTAAATTTTCTGATCATAGGTCATGGAGCTTTTTACCGGATCTGGTTCGAACGCGGATAGATTTCTCCGAAAGCAAACTATCAAAGCTCGCTTCACTGCTAATGTGATGGTACGTAAAAACCCTTCTGAACTGCCTTCTATCTGTGGGCTTTCGACGGATTTTCAGCAACCTTACGAGAAGTACATTACAAAGATATACATGTATTGTGATATCTCGAATATCGTAGCCACTGAAACATGAGGCGGCCTGGTGCAGCACATTCAGTTGCTTGAGAACATCACAAATGAGAGATTCAGCTGGGTTCCAGGTGGGTCTCTCGAAAAGACCAAATTTGTTTGCAAATGAGTGTATATCGGCTGCCTTCTATCATCTCTAAGGTAAAAAATAAAGTATGATGGTGATTTTAAGGAAAGTGCGGATGTCCACCACTTGTTGAGACCCCGGGGAGGTTTTCTGACCAGAAACATCGTGCTGCGAAAGTAGGGAATTGAAGATCTTCCAGGATAACGACCTCGGTTGTGTGTTGGCTCCAAACACTGTCCACTGACCTTATTAAACGGTTGCAGACTAAAAGTGCATCAATAACGCGCACCGTTGTTCTGTTTGTTCAACCACAGTTGAGGTCCGACTGCTTTATCGTGTTACATTCCTTGTAAACAAACCAGCTTGCTTACTTGTCTCCTGTCCAGAGTAATGTTAGTGTTGTGGGCACAGTAATGTCAGGAAAACACTGTGAAACAACATTTTGTCAGTGGGGCTCAAATGCTTCCTCTAAATTGCACTGTCAATCAAAATCCGTTAGCGGATGACCATCAGCTTACTTACTGGACAGTGTGGGGGTGACCACGTGAGCGGTTGGAAATGCCACCATCGTGGTAGCCATCACACAAGCACAAGGTGTTCCATGGGCTTTTACAAAGCTGGGCAAACAGACGTGCTAATAATGGTATGATAACACGTGCGGATGGTGTTAACAATTGGAGCAGACAATGTGTGTCAGAAGCGCATAAGCCTAACCAACGCTAGTACACTGGCATTTTAGCAGTGGGCCTTGACTACCGTAGCTCCCAACAGAGATCAGTTATTGGAAACCCGTGCGTGAACGCTTTCAACTATCCTGGTAAATCATGGCTGGTGGGCAATCGATCTACACAGGCAAGTTATGTTACTGGGTATTCGTTCGAGACATCGGGCGTTCCGCTCACATCACTCAAGGGCGAACATGTCCATCTGATCAGACGTAAAAATTCGAATGAGTACAGCGTGAGCTGGTGGAGTAGTGATAACACGCTCACCCTGGCACTGCTATTGGATATGCACTGCTGATGAGCTCTAATAAGAGCGAAACTCGAGTTCAGTGCTTCCCACCTATGATATGGATTCATCAGAATGGCCGCATCAGGACATGAGGACTATTGTTCAAACGCGAGTATGTACTCTACAAAATACCGCAATCATCAACACCTGCATTGTCACTAAGCAACGCTAAGAACAAGACCAGAATCCGTGGTTAGGATGTGAATAAAGATCGTCTGGAACACTCGTCATTGGCGATGTTGTTGAATATATGTTGCTCGGGTGCGCTGCTTCGTTTTTGGTCTGTTCGCCGAGCTTGACAGCTGGATTGCAAACATTTCATCACAAGTCGAGTTGACATCGTCATTTTGCTTTGACTGATGATGTCAACTCGATCGGTGATGAAACGCTTGCAATCCAAATGACAAGCTCGTGGGTAGACAATTAACCACAACCGTCATTATTTGATTGGGTCCTTGATCAGAAAACGCGGATAAAGTCCCCATTCAAACATCAAATCTTCATATATAATATACATAAGAAGAACAGGATAAAAAACTAAAAGCTAGTGGACCTTGTTAGCCAATGTTATGTATGCGCTGAGGATCGACTGGAGTGTTGTTCTCGAAAAACCGAAGTTCGAATGTTATTCATGAAGGTTACTGGAGCGACTATAGA